CAGGAGCAGTACCAAGCACCTCTGGCGCCGAGCACTATGCAAGTGAGGTTAATGATGCGGAATTCTTCACATTTATTTGTCAGCTGACAGCTACTCATATCGTGAAATATCACGAGTACAATGAGTTGTCATCTGACAAATTTCGAGAGTGCAAAATGTGCGCAACAGCTGCTCTTGGACTTTCGACTTAGTCAATCTGTGCTCTCAGCTTCATTTGACTACGTTGTAGCAGCTCAGCGATAAAGCAGGAAGTGATTTTCTCGAAGATCTGAGGTTGATTGGAAAATGTAGAAGTTAATATCTCTCCTGTAATTGTAAAAATTCAAATTGGAGGCTGTGCCTATGTTAGCTGCCTAGCTGTGTATATAACTTGCCCTCAGAAATGGGTAACTTATAGTACCCCCGTCCAAATCTCGAAATATTATATAACTATACCGTTGCAAATAAATATTTTTGAAGGCTCCTTAGATATACTACGCCTTAACAGGTTGATAAAGGAACACTTTATTTTGTGCCAGAGTTTCGGCTATGACACCGTCTACAGAGGCCTGGAAAACGTGAGGCACAAAATAGAGTGTTTCTTTATCAACCTATTAAGGCATAGATATCTGAAGAGTTATCCAAAAATGCCCAGGTCCTAAAACAGGAGAACATATGAAGTATTTTTCAAAGCATTCTTGTATTTGTATCTATATCTCATTACACTGTTACAAGAATCTGCTTATGGGTGTCTCAAAAAGTGTATCAAACCTTTGGTATTTGACAACACTCTTCTATAGATAGTTTAGATTCTATAGATAGAATTCTATAGATAGAATTCCATGAATAGGCTGCTCCAACTTAGATGGACAGGTAGACGTGAACTCGATTGTACCTCATTTATGGTAGGAATTCTGAAAAGGTTACGGGACAGTATAGGTCCCATTTTGTCTAATAAAGCAACGAGCCTAAAATATTAACTGTATGCTAATCAAAGGTAATCGGAGCCACTGGCACTAAATTTGAGTTTTGCAATCTATCGTAGTGCTCAATTCAAATGTATGTAAATTTTTACAATGTTCCTTAATAATGAAGTTACGCCTTTTTGCAATGTTCCTTAATAATGAAGTTACGCCTGGAGTCTTTACATGCTCGTAAAAAGTTAAATAGTTTAAAGTTGCGTGAAAAACAAAATACAGTGCTTCCATATCCGTTTTCAAGGATATTTTTTTAGA